AGTTTACATACATTGTCAATTGTCATAATGAATTTATTTGAATGTATCATATTTGTAAGGTCAATCACGTTTATCTAGAGAATCCACACTCGTGACACTCCACACTATTGACCCATTAACCCCAGATACACTGACACAGGACTGGCCAATTTCATTTCAAACTAATTCTGGATGGCCTCTTACAAGTTAAAAACTTAAATTTTATATATATTTACATATTATGACGTTATATTGACTTTTGTTGTCGATAAAAATTTAAACACATAAAGGCATTTAAAATGGAAGTTCTCTTACATGTAATGTAGTTTACGCTTAATGAGCGTATATACAATATTAGTAGCTAATACAAATTTCCCAGATCATTTCCCAGGTCCCAAGTTTTTTTACCAGGTCCTGGGACCCGGCGGGACCTGGTGTAGCGTCGCCACTGCTTCGGTTATTCGGACCCGGACTCAGAAGTGAGAGGTTGGGTTTATTAAAAACATATTTAAAATATTATTGTTGGGTTTGTAAGATAAAAATTGGTACCAAATGAAAGATAATTGAATGGACTATACGTTTGTACACTTACTTCTTCAGTATAACGAAAATAAACTGCCACAAATAACATACGAATAGCATTTAGTCTAATAAAATGTCTAAATACTAATATATTATATAATATAGGCCTATAATATTAGAATATGTAGTAGTACAAAAAAAATCATCTGAAATGACTTAAAAAATTATTTGATTATGAATTAATAAGGCGTATTGCTCCTATAAAGCAGTGGTCCCAAACACTTTTTTTTTGCCGGCGACCGGTCAACGTTTGATAATTTTACCGCGGCCCGCTGAAAAAAAAAGGGTGGGGGGTGTTGATTGTTTATAATTTAGATTTTTAAAAATTTAATAATATTAATTTAATTGTATTTAAACATGCCTTCAAAATAAAATACAGTTAACCCCCCCCCCCCCCCCCAAAAAAAAAAAAAAAAAAAGTTAACCCCCCCCCCCCCCCCAAAAAAAATGAAAATAAAGTAAGTGATAGCATATTAAATAACTAGAACACTAAATCAATGAGAACCATGAGCTTGTTTTTCTGCAACGAGACGGTTCCATCTGGGGCTAATAGGAGACTCACTGCAGAAAATACCACTTAACACAACTAGGATGTCCGAAATGACAATAGGAATTTAAGTGGTGTGGTGTCAATGTCATGTTATTCTGACGTGACTTTAATCCAGAACACCTGCAGAGTTAAGTTCTCGAATGTAGTTTTAAGACCACCGTCATGTGCAATCGCCACCAATTGAACTTCTTGTAAAGACATGCTAGATTCGCCTGACTGGTTAACAAATTGGGTCGCTGCTTCATTCCTTATCAGTTTGTACATCTTAAGTGGTTGGGAAGTAGCGCTGGAACGCCTTTAAAAGCAAAGACAGGTGATCGTGCACCAACTTTGAGAATGAATGTTCAGTCTTGCCTAAAATCCCGCTGTTTGAAACGTGTCCAAAATGCCTCTGTTTACGCGCCGTCCCCACAACTCCAGTTTGGCTTTAATGCAACTGCTGCCAACAGTTATCCTTAGCCCCTGAAGGGACAGATTCAGTTAATTGAGCAGGCTTATTATGTCACATATGTAAGCCAGTTTCGCGATCCATACCTTGTCACTGAAATGTTCTGCCAGCGGTGACTTGTATTCTGAGAGATACCTTTGCGATGGCTCTGGTAATTCAAATACTCTGGTTAGCGATTTTCCTCTGGGTAACCATCTTATTTCTGTGTACAAGAAATGCACCATTGTAAATAAAATGAAATAATTTAATGTTTCTTGGGTGCCCTGGTACCATTTGATCCAAGGACCGGTACTGGTCCGCGGCCCGGGGGTTGGGGACCACTGCTATAAAGAATTAACTAGGAAAGAGTATGATTTATTTTTTTAAAATTATAAATTCTACGAAGGAATACATTTATGAACATTTTAAATAGTGTAAGTAGTATAATTTATAATTTATGCCCACAGTGTACAGCCTTTTGATATCAGAATATTTCTACCTTATGACTATCAATCATATGTGGCATTATAATAAATTTGTTAATTACTCATGATTGTGGTCATAATGATATAATGAAAGGTTTTATTTATTTATTTTATGCAATAAAAATGGACGAAATTGGTATTTAAATTACTTAAATGAAATTTATAATAGATTGACCTAATAATAATAGTTAGTTTTGGGCTAATAATATTAATAATAATTAACATAAATTTAAATGTTATTTAAATACACATACATTTTTAAATTTGAAAATTCAAATGATGCCACTATGGTTAAGGTGTAAATGTAAAACTCAATTATTTTTTTGAAAAAAAACAAACATGATTTGACAAATTTAAAATTTAGTGATAGCCGAATCCAAATAATAACCACTGTATTAGGTATAATTGGGTGTTTGAAAATATCCATTTGAGGGCGAGGTAGATGCAGATTGATTGTATTCAATTGAATGAGTTCAATATGATTTAATAAATAAGATGGCAATAGGCGACTTTAAATAAAAATGTTAATGTATTGTATTCCATAAAAAATATGAAGTTGTTGAGAACTATTTTGAAATATTATAAAATATGTGCTAATATCTGTTTCACATTTGTTTTATCTCAGAAGAAAAAGTAAAGTCCAAATGGAACAGCATCAAAACATCCTACTCTAGAGAAAGAAAGAAACAGGAGATGACAAGTAAAAAGTGGTGCAGGCACTCAGGGTGTCTTTATTTCAAAGTGGTGGTTGTTTGACATGATTGATGGCTTTTTGGCACCACATGTAGACGCTAAACAGGGTGTAAATAACATATTCAGCCTGCTCAATGCACTCAATCTGTCCGTTCAGGGGCACATGACAACTGTTTTCAGCAGCTGCATTAAAGCCAAACTGGAGTTGTGGGGACGACACGTCAACAGAGGCATTTTGGACACGTTTCAAACAGCGGGGAGTTTAGGCAAGACTGAGCATTCATTCTCAAAGTTGGTGCACGATCACCTGTCTTTGCTTTTAAAAGTGTTCGAGCGCTACTTCCCAACCACTTAAGATCGACAAGCTGGTAAGGAAATGCGAGCACCGCTCCACTTGGATGCTTTTCAATTTCAATTGAAATGTTATGTTTCTTTATGTTTTTATTCTTCTTGTTTCTCATTTGGAGAACATTGTGTGTGTTTGTTTCATACCTTTAAAATGTACTTAAAAAGAAGTTACAGCTTTGGAATTTATAGCGATAATATAATATATTATTCTTAGGATGCGTGGAAGAGATTTTGCTTTACGTTTACGAATTAAATGTGACTGTACGGTTTTTGCAATGGGCTGCGACTTTCGTCATTATTTCAAGTAGTTGAACGCGTATTTCTCAACACGTCCAAACAAGTATTTGTATTCATAATGGTTTTCAATACTTGCCACTTTTTAAGTTCTCAATCCGAGCTCACGGATAAATAAAGTACAATATTACATTTTTTTCTTTGGAATTTTTTTTTTTTTTTTTTTTTTTCTTTTTTGACAAAATAGGGAAAGCATTTGGAAAGGACTAAACGAAATATTGTGGATCCCATTTGAATTTTTTTCGTAAGGTTTTTCTACACCGTGTGCCCCTGGTGTCACTTTGCTTGGCCCTGATCGCAAGTCTCAACCTTAACACTCTTTTCCATTGATATTCTGTGTAAATTATAACAATATTTATGTTACAGGATAATGAGTAATTCTTAGAATGTCTGGTAACTCTAGACTGAGCTTGAAGTACATAGCTGATGTTGTACATTGCCAAAGCATTGTATAGGACGCCTAGGTACTGGTATAGAATGCCTGAATGGGTCTAGGAACAGTGTATAATAGTGTAAAAGGGATTAAGGCTTTTACAGAGAAACGAAATATCAACAGCGGGGGCAATAACATTTTAAGACCAAAATTGTTATGAGAAGTTTTCTAGCCAATGTGAGGGGATTTCAGAACGTGGGAACCCAGATGTTAAAGGAATGTGCACAACATGGACGAAAAGAGCAGTCATTGAAGTGTTGGTCTCCTGCTTGTACAGTTAAGGAAAAACCATGTCTATCATGCTTGTATCAAGATGTGCCTATCATGCTTTTATCAAGATGTGCCTATCATGCTGGTGTCAAGTTATGTCTATCCTGCTATATCGAGATGTGCTAATCATGCTTATATCAAGATTTGCCTATTATGCTGGTGTGTAGATTTATAAGGCTCTTTCTGGATGAAGAGTAAAGAATGGTTTAAAATCAAATCTCAATAAATAAAGTTTATATATAGTTATTGCATGGAAGACTTGCATGAAGTTATTGATTAAGTTTCAGAATGTGCTAATGCTCTTTATAGAGCGTCGCTAGTCTATACATATCCTTCTACATTACCTTAAATTTCGACATATATTTCTTGGTTATCTTAAGCCTCTGCATATCTTTCTTAGGCACTTCAAGTCTCTACATAGCTTTCTTAGTCACCTCAAGCCTCTACATAGCTTTCTTAGTCACCTCAAGTCTCTACATAGCTTTCTTAGTCACCTCAAGTCTCTACATAGCTTTCTTAGCCACCACACGTCTCTACATATTATGTTTCTTAGCCACCTCAAGCCTCTACATAGCTTTCTTAGCCACCACACGTCTCTACATATCTTTCTTCATTGCCAGCTCAAACATAGTGACCAGTTGCAGAACATACACGTCCTTCAATAATAGAAAACTAAACATATGTCTTGTTAAAGTATCGCCATGCTCTACCTCTCAAAATGACAAATATCTGCGGACGTCACCTCAACAGCAAATATTATCTCACTCTACAACTGCTAGACCGCCTGAATCAAATAAACCATTTGAATGAATCTATCAATTAAACATCTATTAAACTATGTCAAATCTGTGTGATTACAGGCTTCAGTTTGATCTATCGTCAATACGCAAAATTTTTTAAAACAATTTTTGTGTGTCGTTTTTTTGAAAGATTTAATTCAAATGTATTAAAAATTTAATTCATATTTATAAATATCCAGTGAAGTGATGAGGATCAACAGTTAGGTCCCTTAGACGATTTGACTAAAAGGAATACATTCATTCTGTTCCTTGTCTCTCTAAAATTAATATAAACATGTTGGTAATTTTCTCATGTTAAACTATTTGACAATGATTCGACACAAAATAGATATCGGTACGCTTGCTCCAAGGAAGTGAACGGCTCTTAAAACTTGAAAAATCTGATTTCTTCATCCTTGTAATCAAGCAACAATGTTTAATTACTTTCCAAAACAAAAGTTAATGGTTTAAATAATCACTTGTGTATACTCCGGATGTAGGGTAAAACGAATTCTTGTTATAATGCTAAAACTGATACCAGTAAAAAAAACAACAACAAAAAACCTAGACTAAGTTGGAGAAACTCGTGAGAGTATAATAAAAATGTAGGTCTATTGAATCATACGTTTTATTTACTTTATTAAGACGCTGTATTTTTTTTTAAAAAATACTATACGATCTCTATTTATAGCTACGGGATTGAACACAGGGCCACAGGAGTGCACACGAAGCCAGCACAGTTGAGCTCAGGGTCGGGGATGAGCCGCGCACACCCTGGGGGCCCCCGCCAACACGGGGGCACGAACATCTGACACGCTTGTCCAGCGGGGCACCCCTTGCAGGCGTCCCGGGGGTCTGTGGGTGGGCGCGCCGGGGTTGTCGTGTTCGCAGCTGGCGACGTTTTGGTCGAACTGGACAAAGGTTTGATGGCCGTGACGTTTGTGGATGTCGCGGACTCGCGAATGCGGGTCAGGCGGGCGAAAGGTGGAAGCTCCGACGACGAAAAGTCGTCCGGGGTCAGAGGTCGCACTTCTTTGACCTGCGTCGTTTTCATGAACTGTCTGATGAGATCAAGCTGGTTGGTCGATGCTTGGATAGTCGCACCGATCAGTAACAACTTGAACTGTAGGTTAAAGAATAGCTCTTCAGGAGATTTTAAGACACTTTTAATGTATAGAAGCAAAATACAATAAGACCATTGGTGGAATTGGTTTTGTTTTTCAAACTATGATTGGTATGATTGTACTTTGAGGAGGGCACAGACAGCAATGGATTGGTTAAGTATAAATGTAATATGGATTTTTGAAAATTGTTTTAAATAATAACTGGAAGTATTTATCAAGAAGCTAATCGGAGGAATGGTTGATGCATGATGGCGGCAAAGGAGGAAAAAATAGTTAATGCTCACTCAGCCACGTATAGAGAATGTAAATGTTCACTCAACTACACATAAAGAAAAACACATATTCACTCACCCATGTAAAGAGAATAAAAATTTTCACTCATTTACAATAAAGGAATACAAAAACCATTCACTCACCCATGTGTAAAGAATAAGTGTGTGAGCTCCCATGGTTTCTGTTCAGCGATGAGCTCTGAGAAACTTCACAATGAATAATGCGCTCAGCAACTGGGCTGAATAGAATAGTGAAGCATGGCGGCTCCACAGGCAAATAGAGGATGCACAGCTAGTCAAACAAGACATATTTGTCTGATTTAGGTTTTCGTGAACGTTAAAGTGTAGTAAAAAAAAAAAGGAACAACTCAATCGTTAAAATCGAATCCGTATTTATTCTTACAACTTACATCAAAATCGATTTACAAGTATTTAAATTATCAGCAATAGTTTGATAGGCATGGAGTTATTAGCTCAACGGGTTCGTAATCGAATCACTCGGGTTACGTGGTTTTATTTCGTTCCGCAGCAACGACCAACCTACACACCGCTACATGATTTTGTAAATTTAATCTGTTCTGAAATTTGACTCCTTTGATAAACAGTACTTATCAAAGGACTGAAACTAGTATAAAATTAAGAAATTATTCTTTTTTAAAAAAGATACCAAAACCAGTAATATTAACAATATTCAATTTAATGATACTGGCTTGATTATATAAAAGACAAAATCACTTACATCAATAAACACTCTATTAACTTAAACTGCAGCTAACGAAAAAGGATAATCAAATAAAAAAAAATAAATTAATACACACGCACACACAAAGAGTAAACTCGCGTACGTCTCCTATTAAGTCGGGTATGTCTAGCAGTACGTCTCCTATTAAGTCGGGTATGTCTAGCAGTACGTCTCCTGTCTAGGAAAACTAGAACATTTCTCCCGGACGGGAAAGTTGCCGGCTTACTTATAAGGCAAGGGGAAGGCTAGAACCCTCAAGAAAAATAATTTATGGAAAATGCATGACCCGATAGAATTCTTTAGAACCAGTTATAATCTAAACAAGATTTTCCCAATCAAGGGAGGGGTTGGCATTGGTTAGACCACTATACACATATCATCTGTGTCATCAGTTTCAATAAAAAAAATATTTTGGCAGTCAATGTTGAATGCCAAGGCTAGTGGTGTACAAAAAACGTAGTACAACACAGACTATAACAGGCGGTTACGAAGTCTTGGAATAGAGATGCGTTTGCCCTGTCTTGCCTCTTTATTTTTCTTTTCACCAAAAATGTTGACAAGGACACGATAGATTTGCCTAAAGATGCCTAAGGGATCAAATATAGAGCGAAACAAGAGATAAGAAAAACAACACAGACAAAAAAAAAAGTAAAAAAAACAACAAAAAAACAAAATTGAAATTCATTTTAAGTGAATAACCACGTTTCCGATATGAAACGTTTAATCTTCCGCTGCCGCTGGGATGTAAATATTTCTACATGACGTCTCGGGACATCATGACACATGTCACAGGTGAGACTCTCCTATATGACGTCTCGGGACATCATGACACATGTCACAGGTGAGACTCTCCTATATGACGTCTCGGGACATCATGACACATGTCACAGGTGAGACTCTCCTATATGACGTCTCGGGACATCATGACACATGTCACAGGTGAGACTCTCCTATATGACGTCTCGGGACATCATGACACATGTCACAGGTGAGACTCTCCTATATGACGTCTCGGGACATCATGACACATGTCACAGGTGAGACTCTCCTATATGACGTCTCGGGACATCATGACACATGTCACAGGTGAGACTCTCCTATATGACGTCTCGGGACATCATGACACATGTCACAGGCGAGACTCTCCTATATGACGTCTCGGGACATCATGACACATGTCACAGGCGAGACTCTCCTATATGACGTCTCGGGACATCATGACACATGTCACAGGTGAGACTCTCCTATATGACGTCTCGGGACATCATGACACATGTCACAGGTGAGACTCTCCTATATGACGTCTCGGGACATCATGACACATGTCACAGGTGAGACTCTCCTATATGACGTCTCGGGACATCATGACACATGTCACAGGCGAGACTCTCCTATATGACGTCTCGGGACATCATGACACATGTCACAGGCGAGACTCTCCTATATGACGTCTCGGGACATCATGACACATGTCACAGGCGAGACTCCCTTTAATACGTACCACCCCCTTAAAAAAAATACAAATCAAACAGGATTATCGGGACATAAACGATTGAGGTTTACTTTAAAAAAAAAAACAAACTATAATTTTCTATACGGGGCGTGTTACTTGCGCATGTGTTTCGCACCACGGGTCATGGGGTGGCGCATTTGAACATCTACTACTCTGTTCTGAATGCGTTTATTGTGTTGTGTCCTTCGCTGCGCTGGTCGTGAGTTGCACATTCAGTGATAACTTTTTTTTTTAGCGCACTTTTACGCTCTTTGGGCGCAATTTTCCTTGAATAATAAGTTTGCGCATCATGGACTTTACTTGTGTTAACAATCTTCATGAAAACTTGTTTTAGACCAGCTATTAAAGGTGTGCATATTCTACTCTAGAGGTTTGTCTTCTCTGCTATAGCGCTTGTTAACTTGGTCAATCTCAGCTAAACATAAATACACGATTGGGTCCATCCCACAATGGGGTCAGGAGAGAATGAAAGAAAATAAATTTTCGTGGAATATAATATCAATCTACAAATATCACTAGTGTGTGTATGTTGTAGCCATGGCAAGGAGTACACGTTGCGTGACCAGATTAGAAGTATCAATCAAATGTTTCCAATATTACATCTTCTCTTCTCTCAAGTCAAAATCTCATTCTCAGAATCTCACGCTTTCCTCTAATCGATTTAATCACATTTCTCTTATCTCCGAGTGATTCAAACTCACCCCCATTTCAATACTCTTATCTCGCTCTAACCTTTTCTCTCTTCTTTCTCGTTTTATATACCTCCTTCTACCAATTTATATCATTTACTCTCTACCCTCTCACTGTCCCCCTTTTTTTTAAAGTCTCAATTTTCTAATTCACCAACCTATCACTTTCACCAGCCCACATCCTTCACCACCCTACAAATTTCAACAGCCCACATCCTTCACCAACCTACCACTTTCAACAGCTTACAACCTTTACCAATCTACCACTTTCAACAGCTTACAACCTTTACCAATCTACCACTTTCAACAGCCCACAACCATCACCAACCTACCACTTTCAACAGGACACATCCTTCATCAACCTACCACTTTCAACAGGACACATCCTTCATCAACCTAGCACTTTCCCGTCCTGTACAGCGTATTATTGTGCTTACTGTTCTCACCCAATATAATGCTAGTGTTGTCATAGTGGGCCGACTATAGAATAGGTTTAACGTCATTTCGTGACGGATCAGTTCACTCAATCAAAATTAGCGTCTTATTGTCTACAGACCGTTGAGTTTCCTCGCACTGTAGTCAGCTGACGTCGCCGGCGGTACCCTCCGATCAGATTCGAATACGTCCGGGCGAACTTGCTGGACATCGTCACGTAAATCACGAAATTCAGGGACGAGTTGGTGACGTAGAGAAAATCCACACAGTACTCAGAGAGCGTGTACACGTTGGTGGTCCTCCCCTGGTCCACAACGAAGGTGCCGTCTATGAAGTACATCAGCGTGGGGACCATCGTTGGAAGAGCGAGTCCCAGATACACCACGCAGACCACCAGCAGCATCCGCACCGCCTTGACGTCAAATTTCGTCGCGTCTCTGGGCGATGAGGTCATTTTCGACCGCTTCCGGGTCGCCTGTCTGAGTTTGTACCCCGTTGCTATGGACGCGGCCGTTACCAACAGGAAAGACGCTGGGGCTCGGATTACGCCGACCACGAAAACGTTGACGATGTTCAGGGCATTGAAATTGGAAATCAGGTAATCTGAGAACATGAGAACTGCCACGGTTCGATTGGTAACGGGATCGTAGCACCACGTGTAGGAAAACATGGCGTAGAACGGGCCGAACAGAATGATCCAAAACAGATAGATGAATGCGAGGAAGGCCGATGTGTTTTTCAAGGTGAAGATGCGAGACACGGCCAGGGGGAAGAAGACGCAGATCGTTCTCTCGATCGAGATGAGGACGATGTGTCCTGACGACACGAAGCTGATCATTCTCGTCGGCAGCACAAAATACGCGTTGACGAGCGCATCGAGGCTCTGCGCGGCGACGTCGTCGTCGAATTTCCCGACGACGCAGCGAGCGCGTCGCACGGGCATCATGACGTCGTAGATGAGATCGACGGTGGAGAGCGACATCAGAATGACGTTGGTGCTGCTGCCGCGGAGGCCCTGCGTGTACAAGACGATGACGCTCAGCGCGTTCCCGGTGACGCCGAACATGGCGACGGCGTTGACCAGGACGCAGTTGATGACCGTGTCGCAGAGGGACAGCGCGTCGTCGTCGATGACGTCATATCGGCTGTGATGGGCGGCAGTCGAACTGTTCATGCTTTTTCTTTAAGCCTTTCAGTTTATTTGATATTTATTTGGTGTGTAAAACATATACAAATGCATTAAAACTTATTCACAGAAGTTTGTTTAAATATCTGCCTTTTAAAACGGCGCGCTAAACTACTCTAGGTGGCTTAAACTACTCTAGGTGGCTTAAGTAATCTGTTGTGTTACGCCATTCATCAAGTAATGTTTAGGAGTTACAACTTTATTTTATAGTGTCAAGTAACTTGCTCATCAAATTTGTATTAAAATATTAAAGATTTCCAAGCACTGTTCAAAGAACTCATCTTTGTGTGTGTGTTAAATATATAACCACCAGGTGCATATCCGATCAATAGGTTTCAAGGCCTACTTGTTTACAATGTTGTTCAAGTTAATGAGATAGAATATAAGTATAATTTACGGCCGAACGTAGGGGGTAGGGGGGGATGGGGAGTTGGTGTTTTTTTTTGGTCCCCCCATATTGGTACTGGCCTAATCCAAACAAGCTGTAATTAGAACTATGGGGTACTGTTTAATTCTAGAGAATTAATTTCCTTTTCCTAAAATTAAAAATAAATCCATGTACACCCGTCCGCAGCGATAATTAAAATCTAAATTGTAGATCACAACATGACAATTAAAGTCTACTTTAAAAAGGGGGTAAGGGGGAGAGGAAACCTAGAAATTATAGTTTC